GATTTCATCGAAGAAGCAAAAACAAAATGACGAACTTACTACTGTAGCTACCACCATTTTCTCATTAGGGTTGGACTGAAGTTGAAGTTGAAATTGAAAATACATTTCTTTCTTATTTTCAATCTCTCTTCACTTCTTCCAACCCCTATGGATATGGTCCTTCAGTTTATTCCCACCTTGGTCACTGATGAAATGAATTCTCAACTATTAGTTCCTTTTGTCAATGAAGATATTGAGATCGCGATTAGATAAATGTTCCCCCACCAAAGCCCCAAGGCTTGATGGTTATCTAGCTCTATTCTATCAGTGTTATTGGGACGTGGTGGGCCTTTCAACAATGGAAGATTGCTTGAATATTCTTAATAAGGGAGGTCATATCAGTGGCTAGAACGATGCCAATATTGCTCTTATTCCTAAAGTTAAGCATCCTCGTTCTGTGGCGGACTACAGGCTGATTAGTCTTTGCAACGTCTCTTATAAAATTGTCACTAAAGTCGTCCTCGCCATTCGTTTCAAAAGGGTTCTGGATGCTGTGATTTCCCCTGTGCAATTGGTTTTTATTCCTAACAGGGCCATTACGGATACCATTATAATAGGCCATGAGTGCCTCCATCACATCCATAACCAAAAATCTGCCTCTTCTGGTCTTGCGGCTCTAAAGCTTGATCTCAGTAAAGCTTTTGACAGGGTTGAGTGGCCTTTTATAGAGAGATTGATGCTTCAGTTTGGGTTTGCTCGTAATTGGATCGATCTTATTATGAGGTGCATCTCTTCAGCCAAATTTCCTGTTCTTTTAAATGGCGTTCCCACAGGCTCTATCTACCCTTATCGAGGTCTTCGCCAAGGTAATCCGCTTTCTCCTTATTTTTTTGTCCTTTGTGCTCGGGGTTTATCTATGTTCCTTTATGGAGCTAATGCGGCGGGAACTCTTCATGGTCTCTCTTTGACCCCTACTAATCCCATTGTCTCGCACTTACTGTTTTCCGATGATGGCCTATCTTTTTTAAAGCTAATGAGTTTGAATGTATGCACTTAAAAGACCTTCTTGCAGTCTACGGAAACGCTTCAGGGCAAAATATTAATTTCGGCAAATCCACTTTGATGTTTTCTCCCAACATACATTTGGACAGGCAAAAATATCTTCATTCTATTCTTGGTGTTGTTCTTGTCAATGACCTTAGCAATTATCTTGGATTGTCGTTCTATTTCTCTCAAAGGACAGGGCAGAACTGGGTCTTTCTTAAAGATCGTATTTGGAAAGTTATCTAAGGATGGAAGCGTAATTTATTTTCAGTTGGAGGTAAAGAAGTCCTTATAAAGAGTGCGGGTCAGGCTATCCCTGAAGGGATGTGAATCCCGGAGCGGAAGCGGATCTTCGTTGCTGATTTTCGGGATACAAAACCGAAATTGAAATAAGGAAAATACAGAGGAAACTCAATACCTTTGAAGAACGTTTCTTCAACAAATTTCCGACGAACACCACCACCGAGCCTTCCTCGCTATCCTCTGGGTACGAGATCGTTCTTGTGGGAGAATTTCTTTGGAACGAGAGGGAGAGATTGAGAGAGCTATTGAGAGAATTGATGGGAGTTTTTTTTTTCCTGTTCTGTCCTGTAAAAAAAAACTGCTCTTCTGATTCTCCAACACTTGAAGAAGAAGAAGGGTGCCCCACGTCACAAAACCTCCCACTCCCTTGCAATTTTGCAGGGGAGTTTAATAATAATACATATTATTATTATTATATTAATATAATTAATATTAATAATATATATATATATATTTATAAATAATTAATATATATAATAATTAAAATATAAAAATAATTTATTAATTAATAAATAATTATTAATTATTAATCCAATTAATAATTAATTAACATATATATATTAATCAAATAAATAATTAACACTTAATTATTTATCATAAAAATATAATCATATTCTATAACATTTCTCTCGTATAACCTATAGTTGTAATGTACATCTTATGCACATTATTTTTAACCTATAGTTTTAACATGAATCTTATTCATATTAATTTTATTTGAATCTCATTCAAATAATTTCTCTCATAATATATAGTTTTAATTTATAATTAACTATATATTATAATGTATCAATATACATATAATCCCTCAAGTAATTTGAACATTTCAAATTCTTCAAAAAACTTGATCCTCGTTTTACCCGTTATGAGCTAGCAAAGGGACATAATGGACCTACAGATCAGAAGCTCCAACGATGCGAGATTAATCGGTCAAACTCATTGACCGAGTTAATCAAGACTCGTTAACTACGGATCATTCCACTAAAGACCCGCAGTTGCACTCTTCTCACTGCAGAACGTTTTCGTGTCCACGGATATACGGCCATAAATGACGAGTCAATCCTTCACGAGTGCTCGTAACTCAAGTTGGGTCAAATTACCATTTTACCCCTGAGTTACATCTTACTCCTTAAACACCATTGCTCCTCTAMTGAACAACTCGGTTATGGTCCAACCAATAACCGGAAGTCCCTCTCAGCCAATGAGAGGGTGGGGTCCCTTATTCAAGTTTCGGAGTCAGCATTTAAGGGAACACTCATCTACTCCCCTAAAGTCGGGGAGGAGTGAATTCCATCTTGTGAAGTTATGTTCCCAACTCCCCACTCGGTCTCGTCCCCAAAATGGTAGGAATGTTGAGTCAGCTACTCGGGCCACTCTCACCCATACAGATCAAAGGACGAGCCCTCACGGGCAGGAGTCCATAACTCACTCAGGATTGAGAATGAGTTGCCTGGTCATCCTAAGAAATAATAATTTATTAGTTAACGGTGTTACATCTAAAGATTGTCTATTTCGCGGTCCGGTCTTATACAAACTCATTGTACAAGATACCCCCACTCGCATGTCTCCACACGAACGACCTGGATCGAGTCGTATGTAACTTTTACAGAGTGGGCCGTATCCATAGTGTTGCCAGGATAAGGTACCCAACCTTATCCATATACTATAGACCATTTAGGTTATTCACGGGATATTATCCATTCATATATCAGGGGTATATCAAATATATACCCAGTATATATATTGTCCCGATTACATTCAAATAACYTTGGATGTTTAGTTTATTGGATTTGGACAATGCAATGCTATGTTTCAACAACAAATTTATTGAATAAAGCTTTATTGAATATACATTTGTTTTTACATAATACAAACTACGAGTTTAGGGCAACACACCCAAGAATCCCTTCTTATGCTATTAGCGTTTTTCGCTTGTCCAAAGATTTATGTGATGATATCTCCAAGTCTTTTAACCGGTTCTAGTGGGGCTTCACCAATGATTCGAGGAAGATCCAACTGGATGAGTTGGAAGCGGATGTGTTGGCCTAAGGAGTTTGGAGGTCTTAATTTCAGGGATCTTGAGGGTTTTAATAAAGCCCTTATAGCTAAGCAAGTTTGGAGGATCCTTCAAAATCCCAACTTGCTTGTTGCCAAGGTGTTGAAGGCTCTCTATTTTACTACTTCTATAATTCTTGATGCTGATCTTTCTCCTAAACCTTCCTACTTTTGGAAGGGCCTTCTTTGGGATAGAGACCTCCTTCTCCAAGGCCTTACGAAAAGAGTTGGTATTGGTGATTCTATAAAGGCTTTTGTGGACCTATGAATTCCTAGAGCATGGACTTTCAAGCCTTTAATTCATCCTATAAATAGTGAGGATATCCGAGTCTCGGACCTCATTATCCCTCCTGCAATTTGGAATGTCAATCGTCTTCGCTCTCTTTTCTGCCAAGAAGATGTTGAGACCATTCTTACTATTCCCCTCAGCATCCACTCTATTCTAGATTCTTGGCTCTGGCACTATGACAAAAGAGGTATTTTTAGTATTAAAAGTGCCTATAAGCTTTACATGAATTGTTATATCCTTTCAGAGTCTCTTCGCTCATCAAGCACACCTACGGTGGGTAGTTTTTGGAATGATATTTGGAAGCTTCGGTTGCCAACAAAAATCAGAATCATTCTATGGAAAGCTATGAATAATATTCTTCCAACTTTGGCTAATCTACAAAGGAAAGGAGTAGACTTACACCTTTTTGCCCTTGCTGCCGGTCTCAAGCTGAAACCACTTTGCACGCTCTCCTCCTCTGCCCTCGTGCTAAGCATCTCTGGCATCAAATCCTCCCCTAAGTCCCTGTTTCAACCGGCCGGAATTTGACGTTCCCTGATTTCTGGTATGCTCATCTCTACACTTTGAATGACTCTTAGAGGGAGCTTGCGGCAACTCTGACTTGGGCAATCTGGAATGACATTGAAACGAAGAGTCTATAGATTACCCAGCTTCTGTTACTCGCGCCAACACAATTCCCCATGGTCATCTTCCTCTAATTTCTGCCCGTCCGTGATCATTTGGCCCTCGCATCTCCCCTGGCGGTCTCTTCCTTAATGTCGATGCTGCCTGTCGGGGTTCCGCTTCGGGGCTTGGGTTGGTTCTGCGAAATTCGGCTGGGGAAATTCAAGCTGCTCGGTCCCTTTTTCTCCACAATTACCTCCCTCCTTTGTTTGCAGAAATTCGAGCAATTCTTGAAGGCCTCCTATTTGCTCGAACGATTGTCTGTGATGACATCGTGCTTTTCTCATATTTGATTGGGGCTATCAACCTAATTTTAAGAAATTCTTCAACCATGGGTCCGAAAAGGGTGTGGATCTTCGACATTAAGGTGTTGGCTAGGGACTTTGGCTCCTTTTCCATTTTGCATGTTCGTCGCGAGCATAATCAATTGGCAAATTCTCTTGCCAAGTTCGGTCTCCGATCTTCGTCTTCTTCTTCTTGGATCGACGATTTTCCCGCTTGGTTAAACAACTTGACTCTTAATGAAGCCGCTTCTTTTGTAGCCCATGTGGCAAATTCCTTTTAATGAAATTCCTTTTCTCTCAAAAATATATATATATATTTTAGAAAGTCCCGAATACGAGTCATATCCCTACAAACAAAGGAAAAAGAAAGGGTATTTGTTGCAATTTATTTATTTTTGTTAAGAACATGCGTTTGTTTGTCATTGACCCGGTTCACTCCCATCAACGCGAGGGACTGCAGTGAAGAAGAGAAGCAGACGAACCAAATTCTGAAAGTCGAAGTCTTTACACGGAACGGAACTCAGGTAACCCTATTGTTTTTTTCTTGGCGGCCAATGACGGAAAACCTGAAGCACAGGCTAGAAATTAGCTCCGACTCATCACCTCAAAGGCCGTTGAAGATTGGGAAGACCACCGGCGCCGGCGACGAGGAGGAAGCAGAAGCCATGAACCATAACCATGGAATCCAACGCTACCTTGTCGCAGTCGAATATATAGGAACTCGCTTTTCTGGCTCTCAGCAGCAGCCCAATTTCCGTACGGTGGTTGGCGTGCTTCAGGTACTTCCACATTTTTCTTTACACTGCCCTATGCCTCATGCCTATCTTTCTTAACCAAGCAAACACCACTTTGCGCCCTCTTTACCTGGTTTAGATGTTTTGGGCAATTGCAATGTTACCCGAAGACTCACAGGAAGATCAAACTTTTACCATTTTTTAGTAATGTTTGGCGAGGAATATGAAATATCTAGACCCATATGTTGTATCAAGTAACATCAAGGAAGGGATCTTTACTGTTTGAGACTTTTGAATTGGGTCCAACTCACGTTAATGCGTTCAAGTTCTATTTCTGCCTTTGTTTTCGTAGAAACGATTTTTTTTTTTTTAAACAATGGATTGATCTCCTGCATTACACTATGTATATGTGTATTACATTCATTCAAATTTATGAATTCCTTTCACCTGGCAGGAAGCGTTTCAGAAATTTATCGGTCAATCAGTTTCAGTGTTTTGTTCTAGCAGAACTGTAAGTTTATCTTCTTTTCTTTTTGCCAAATATAAATCAATTTTATTGCTCTTATTAGTTTGCTTAGCAGATGATGATAGAATTTCACTTAAATTGAAAAGCATTTCGAAGGCCATTCTCTCCCAAGGTTCCACGATTTTTATGTTGTGGTTATTCGGTGCTCTGATAGTTTTCCTTTCRCTAGCTCCGATATGTGCAGAGAAGGATGTGTAATTGAACTGATAGTTTCACTATTGGCTTCCCGATGGTTAAATTCTGGGACTTATGTTGATTTGAGATACATGGACTTCCCTTCATTGTCCGAAATTGAATTTTAGAACAAATTCATCGAGTTATTTTAGGATAAGTGTTTTCTATGGCTTATGTGCAGCAGTGGAACTTGCTTCCTATTTTTCTGTTCTGATGCGTGTATAGTAGAAGGGAATCCGTGATTGAACTGCTTGTTTGCTACATTGGGTTTTTTATCAAAAGAGAATTCTGAGATTTTGGTCTACTATTATAGTTCTGAACTGCGACCTGCATCATATTCATCTACTATTCTAGTTGTTAAGACCAGGTGTATTATTATACTTTTTTGCTTTCTTTGAACTCTCTGTTTCGTCGCCACCCATATTCCCGTGCACTTATTACATTTCTTGCTAACACAAGTATATTAGGTAATCCATACATGTTATGACATTCCTTCTTTTTTCAATCAAGGATGCTGGAGTCCATGCCGTATCAAATGTCTGTCATGTTGACATTGAGCGCATAAGCAAAAGAAAGCCTGGAGAAGTGGTTTGTCCCATTTTTTTTTTATACTAAATTCAATTAGCCATTAAACTTAGGGAAATTTTACAGAGTCATTTCATCAAAAAGGTTTGTCCCATTATAATAACTTTTCAATATCCCTCCCCCCGACCTCCTCTCATATGTACACTTATGATGTACGCTCAACAAGATGATTAATTCTTCCCTAAAAAATTTAGTTTACTCGTTGACTTTAGTGTTGAGGTTAAATTTTCTTATCCCCGAAAACATACAATGATACAAGTTTGAAATTCTGCTCAACTTCGCTACAAAAATGCTGATTACTTTTTCCCAACTATTATGCAGTTACCACCTCATGAACCTGGAGTGGTTCGTAGGGCCGTGAATCATTTCTTACAGGTTTGGTTTTCCTCGGGCAAATCACATTTTTGAGCTACTGCTGTTTCTCTCAGTTTTTTGTCATTTTGATCTTGTGCTTCAGTTTAAACTCAACGAGGCTACGTGTAATAGTCTTTAAATTTGCAAGCACGTTAGAACTGTGAAAAAGAGAGTTCGTCCCTTTTATCATTACTATAGTCCGAGGGCTATAGATGAGCAAACACCTGAGAGAGAACTTTGTTTTTCCAACTTGAGCCCTACTTTGTTTTTATCATAGGGCGAAGAAAATGAGGATATCTGTGTTGATTTTGATTTCAGAAACATGAAGGTGATGTTACGATAGTTGATGTTCGAAGTGTTCCTAATGATTTTCATGCAAGATATAAAGCTCAAGAGCGTACGTGAGTATTTTCCATCTGTTCTTGAGCTGATACTGTTGTCGCGTAATAGATTGTATAATCAGTTACGGGAGGCCATAGCTTTATAAAACTATTTTTAGAATGAGTAGTATTGAATGTGATAGGTGTTGTAATGTGTTTTTATATCTCGTGCAATATTTTCAGCTACTTCTATAGATTAGTTTCTGGGCCAGAAGCTTTGTCATGCTTTGAGAAGGATCGGGCATGGCACGTGCCTGAGATACTAAATATGGGGGCCATGCAGGTATAAACAAATAGCAACACGATGCTGGACAGGATGTATTTTCGTAATTAAATTTTGGAACTGATGCAACATAATTTGTATGTATGAATTCAGGAGGCGTGCAAAGTGCTTGTTGGGCATCATGATTTTAGCTCCTTCAGGGCAACTGGTTGTCAGGTCACTTAACGCTAAATATATTTATGATCTATGGAATTTCTTCTTTCAGGCAGCTTGTTATAAACTTTGCTTAACAATGGCAATGCTTGTAAATAAAAGTGATATGCAGTGCAGGCAAACTCACCGATCAGAACTCTGGATGAACTAGACGTTTGTGAGGTGGTTTCGACACCTGATTTTCCATCACTAATGGAACGAAAACTAAGCAAAGGCAGAGAAGATATTGAGAGTGAAATGCGTGATAACTTGTCTTTTATTGTTGATGGGAATAAGGGTGAAACGGGTGATGTTGGATTTGGCATCAGAAAAAGGCATCGTTGTTTTGTGGTGACAGCACGAGCACGCTCCTTTCTCTATCATCAGGTAGGTAACTTAACAAAACGTAGCTCATTGTTCGTAAGATTTATGAGCTTGATTGATACTGTTGAAATTTGTCAGGTGAGACTCATGGTTGGAGTTCTTAAAGCGGTTGGCACCGGAGATCTAACCGTAGGAGATGGTAGGACAGCAACACATTATATATAATTCTACTTCTTTTTCTGTTCCAAATAAACAACAGAACATTTTGCAGTTGGGGTAGGCTAATATTGTTATGGTTTACGTTTTTTGGCAGTAGAAAGAATCTTAGAAGCGAAGAATGTGAGTTCAGCGGGTCCAATGGCTCCTGCATGCGGACTCTACCTGGGCCATGTCAAATACGAGTTGCCACCGCAAGCCTGATACAATTTTTCCTATCACTTCCGATTAATTTATGTTACACAAGAGCTTTCTTTCTTCCAATTCATCCAAAACTACGATAATGATATACAATAGTTTACTTCATGAAATTGTGTATGGCCATCTGAATGGAGTATTCACTGGGAAAACGACTCCACACAACTCCAAAAGCATCGGATTTTTGTTACTCAACTCCTCCCATGCCTTTAGTTTCTTCCACCTCCTGCCATTAAACCATTGCAACATAGTCAGTCCCATCAAGGCTTATACAATTTCATGGATGCAACTCCTGTGCGCCATCTTTTTGTCTACTTTGAGACTGATCAGTTCCATTCGAATCTCTGTTTCATTTCCTTCTCCATATTTTTCCTCCTCACCTTCATCTTGCTTCTCCTCTGGAGTGCTAAACTGTTGCATTCTCCTCGTCTCTTGTTTCTTCCTCAACATCTAATTCATTGTCTACTGAATCATCTGCATTTGATGATGAGTCCAAGCTGCCAGGACTTTCCAAACGCAAGGATTCCTCTTGGTTATAGCCAGCTCCAGTTTGGTCTTTAGTAATTCTAGCAATCTCTTCGCGCTCCTTTCTACGGCGCTTTAAAACACATATTGCACATAAACAATCAGATTTGTGGCGCCTTCTGCAAAAAATGAGGCACTTCAATCAGCATACCATTTCAGAAGTTATATGCTCAATAAACATTACAAGAAACAAGGAGAAACTTTAGCCCACACAAACACCAATGCAAGTACTTCACAACAGATACTGCTGGATTTGTGTTAAAATATTTCATTTAACCACAATCAATTGGTTTTGGTAGCTAAACCAGCAATTTCCTTCTAAGTTCTACCATCACGTTTCAAGAATATCCTATACCCTGAAACTAATGAAAGGTGTGAAAAGTCATTTTGGACCCATTAATGCTCTGGCGCTTGAATGTGAAAACAAACTATTGATTAGATAAACAGTATTGCATGATGCTTATGGATGTGGTTTTCTTGTGTGGAGGTGAAGATGGATATGTAAGACTGCATCATTACTTCAACATCAAGATTTGAATTTGGAGTACCGAGGGACAACTTTGTGTGCAACGCCAATTTTGCTGTGTGGCCAATGATGGTTATACAAGTTTGTTGTGAAAGTTATTTCCACGGCATTGTATTAATTAAACCTCTCCTCACCTAATCTTTTTATTTTCAACTTCACGATTTCCATTTTTATGAGAGATTCATGCATAACTTGAGTCGATGAGTTCATTAAAAAAAAAAAAACTCTTCCAGTCTAAAAGAACATTGACATTTGTCCATAAGGTACCAAAACCAAAATAAAACATCAACAAGACATGCAAAAATGATGAAGACAAAGCTTTCTCCTGTGTTGTCTGGAACCGGCCCCATGCCCAAACTAACTTCAATTTGATTTCCTGTCTGTTTAATCAAAGTAACCACACACTTTTTTGGACCAGCACAACAGCCCTTCATCATCAACTAAACCTCCTTCACGACACCAATTGGAGTTATGTACTTCTCAGTCCTCCACAAACATCAGCAATACGAAATCACGAACAAGAAATTCAAGAATAATCCCCAAAGATTAACTTACCTATCAAATTCGGTCATGGCAGAGCAGGATAACCATTTTGTCCTGCTCGAGCAACAGTAAATGATACTCTGGCTGGATGCCAAGCTCCAGTACATGCTACTTTCCGAAGCCCACGCGGGGGACCCCTTTGTAGCCCTTGCCTTTCGTTACTCCAATGATATCAATCATCTCATCTTTTTGGAAAATTGCATCAACAGGGACCTGCTTCTCAAATAAACTATAGGCATAATCAACCTTCTTAGGAACATCTCCACCATTCCACCTGAATCTCCATCAAGTGAGCTTTCTTCTGCTTCAGTCCATTTTCCTTATCTGAAAATATGTCCTTATTCTTCATTAGATGGGGAAATATAAAACTAGTATAAATATCAAATATGAACAAAAATTTGTCATAGTTCAAAATTGTAGGTTGTACAAAATGAGAGGGAAGCACAAATTACCTGTGAATGGGCCAGAACAAGAATCTCAGTGCTGTATTTCTTCAATTTCTCTAACTGTGCCTCAATATCCTTCTCCCCCATCTTCAGTCTCGTGCTTCTTAGAGTACTTAGTGAAAGCCTTCTTAGACTTGCACCAATTCTTGTAAATTCTCCTTCTTACCTCCTCGCTCAAATGCTGGGCCCAGACAGTTTTCAAGGAACGCAGGCCCCGTGGCGTTTTGACATAGCCAACAATACCAATAACAACCAAAGGTGGCGTTTCTATAATTGTTACAGCTTCACATGTTTCTTTCTCGTGTAGCTCTGAAAGAATCACACGATAAGTTATAACCATTTAGTTTATTAGTTTATGGGATATTATTAATAATCCAATGCTAACATGGATGTGGTAACAAAATTGCTAAATATTACAGAATGCAATGATGACTTTCATTGAATTTGCATAACTACGTGCAATTTGGATTAGTTGCTTAATGCATTTGTGTTATTTTAATAGGTTAGATTTAAATAACTTTGAACCAGACTCACTTGATCCAGGCTTTTCAACTTCTCTAACAATATGGGTCATCCCAGCCTTTTATCCAAGGAAGGCAGTTAAACTACAAGGCTTAGATGGATCATCTCCGGGAAATGGCTTCACTGCAAAACAAAAATCCCTACCAGATTATTTATTACATATATAATAAAATTAGCTTGTAATAAAAACTACATACCTTGTACTAAAAACATTCATTCAGATTTACAACAAAGAATATCTGATGAATCTTCATACACCAACAGCATAAACAAGAAAACTAACAAGGGATTTAGGTATCAACAGGAAAAAATAAAAACAATACAAGAAAAAAAGTTATTAAACACCGGAAAGAGCAGATAAGGATTAAACACTTCTAAACTACAGTTGACTAGAGTGCCAGGCGTTAAATTGAAGTTGCAAAAAACCACTTACAGCAATGACGAGAAATGTAAAAAAAGCATTTAAATGATCACTCTAATGTATATTAAAGGCCGAATGCCTACTTACAACTAATACATGCAGGTAAGAAGCATTTTTATTTATATTTAAGGCAACAATGATACAAACTATGATACCTAAATATGATTTAACAAAAAAAGATCGTTGATACCTTTTCCTCTATGGGAAGAAGCTCTCTTTCTGGGAAGAAAACCCAGAGAGCCATGTCTTGGGTGCTCAAACTTGCGGTGAGACATGTTGGATTTTTGTTGTAATATAACTGAAAACTCACAAATTTTCAATTACAATTTATTGATCCAGCAAACAGAATCTAAGAGGGGCCAAAAGTTAAAAGGTGCACCATAATAAAATGCTGCAAAGTCATAGTTAGCGACCAGCAGACGAACTGAAAACAGAACGTTTAATTAACACAATCCTTAAGTAACACTACTATATATTTCTGAAGGCAAAAGGACACGGGGGAAAAATTGAAATAAAAACTGTACAGAGAATCTGTTTCAGGATTACACATAAATAACTGAAGTTTGTTGGTTATGAGGAAGGAAGAGGAAAGTACTCTTTCTAGGGTCACCAGAAATAGGATGCCTTCTAGAATTTCTCTTAATATAACAACTCATGCACTACATAACTAATTGTAAAGACTACAGCCCGAGTTCCTGGAGAAGTTGATTCCATCTCGGAGTTTCTTCGTCAAAAATGTACGTCAACGGCGATATTAGAACCCCGCTTCCTCCAATCTGCACCAATTGCTTCCTCGTAAGAAACTATAAATGATGTCATGTGTGTGGTAAGCCAATTGATAAAGCACTATACAAGAGATGTAGTTAGGAATACTGTATCTGTAACTTGTAGATAATAATTGTTCAAGACAAAAACTAATTGCTTACCGCTCTCAGTTGCTGAACCGACTTGTACAGGGATTTTTTGGGGACACATATGACAATGGCATAGTAATCAGCTACTACCTTCCCATCGCGTTTGTAGAAAACTGGACTTACTGTAGGGCCCTGTATGGATAACCAAAATGAAAAGCAAAAAAAAAAAAAAAAAAGTTATACACAGGAATGTATGTTCACTTTCTAAAGAATAATTCTTTTTCCCCCTTTTCTATTGGTGGGTGTGTGTATAATGAAGGAATTGCTTCCACCTGCAACCCAGACAATGATGTTTGACTTAAAACACGCTCAGCAACTTCTTGAGCACTATTTCCTCTCATGTTTGCAGTCACCTGACAGTTCGAGTATGAGAATATCAAGCTCAGAAGGAAAAGAAAAAATATATCGATCATAAGTTACACAAGAACTGGACTCACAGTGAACTGACCAACAGCCCTCAGATGTGCCTCCAGTCTTTCAATAATCTCATGGGTTGTGTCTAATGCACCTTTCCTCTGAATCAAGGACTTTCGGCTGGCAAGAAGAACGGCCTAGAAAGCATAATCTGTGTAGTAAGTTAACATCTGATATAAAGAGAACCTAAAACAATTATCCAATGGCAAGCTTCTCCAAGGATTCTCAGATTAAAGGCTTGCTAGGACAGAAACCAATCCAGAAGTTTACCTGGCTTTCCAAAACCACTCCACCTTCAATTTCTTTCAAATTGTTCTCCTTCAGCGTGGTCCCACTACTTACAAGGTCCAAAATAGCATCAGCTATCCCCATCTGCATTTAAAGGGGAAAACGTGGCTCTATAAGTATGGGGGGGATACTGCTGAGCAGTAAAGGTAATCCAAATAACCATGTCTTCTTCAACAATGGATCTGAAAAGTTCTATCAGGGAATTGGCGTGAAATTTCTCAGTATCAGACAATTTAATTCTTACACTAGTATCTGAAAGTTTTTTACCTATAATAAATGCATTTTCATCCCCACTTGCAATGCTTTTCAGAACTTACACTTTTGACCATAATTATGTCTCCACGTGGCTGGGAGTTTCTGCTTACAACTTTTTATATTAATTGCTGTAAGTCCAACTCGATTGATGGGTGGCTCAACAAAGTGTTGTTCGGATGGCTTTTAAAGGGTAAAGCTAGACGTTATGGAAGTGTGCTGTTAGAGCTTTTTTGTGGATGGGGAGGAGACTTTTTTAAGGAAATGTCTCTCATTTTGACAGGTTCATAGATGGTGTACAGCTTATGACATCTCTTTGGTACCTTAAACATAAAGATTCTTTTTGTAATTATAGCTTATCCTCGATTCTAGAAGATTGAAAGTGCTAATGTATTAGTTTTTGTTGGGAGGATGCTCTCTCATCCCCTGCCCTTAGGTTGTCTTGTCTTTACTTTTGTGTTTTATTAATATAGTTGTCTCTTATCCAAAAAAATGACTCCACACGGCTGAAAATTCTGCCAATCTACATCTATTTAACCAAACAATCTTGCAGAAGGCAAATGTGAGCTATTTAGGACACACATGATGCATATTCTTGAATTAAGTAATACATAAGGAGGGAAAAAAATTTATAGGATGCAACAGTAACTATCTTCACTTGCTCATTTTAAAGCATTCTTTTGCTGTCATTTTCACTTGAACTATGAATGTACATAGTTCGGCCTAAAAAGATAACATACTTTCAGAACACGGTGTCTTTTATCCAAAAACAACTATTACTAAAACTTTTCTGGAACCTATAAGGAAATTCGAAGGTTTTCCCAGAGGCAATATTGTCAGGCCATGCATTGAATCCGACACTAACAGCACACAAGCATAGTGGAAATCAGAAATCAACTCGAGACAAAAACGCATTTCAGCAAGAATAATTACCGCAGGGGCAGCTTCTAATGCTCCATCAGCAGTTGAAAAACGGACATGTTTCAACCCATTTTCTTTAAGAAATTTTGGGCCAAGCTGAGAAAAATGACATTATTTAACTTATCCAATTAGTACTCCACATTCAAACTCCAAGAAAAAGAAGCATGGATGTGATGGATAATGAGGAAATCATACATAAGTAAATCCAGTAGCAACTCGAAGAGGCTTCTCCTCAGTCCATTGGGGCATCTGAGCTAGATCCCGAATTGAATTTATATTCTCGAAAATGCCATATTTGGGTATCTAATTTGAGAGGATAAGTTGACGGTGTCAGAACATAATTTTTTAAAAGCTCATGATATAATAAAAAATAGTAATATATAAATAAATAAATCAATGTGGATGATACCAAGGGAGGAAAAACTTACAGCAAGCGATAAACGGCAATCTCCATATTCAAGGGCATCATGAACGATGATAAGATATTCATTACCCTGTGGAGAAAGAATAACAATTGGAAGCAATGAGATTTTGCTGGTTGTTTTTCTTCATAATGGTTGCATGTACGTAAAAGAAAATTTTATCCTGGAAATAATGAAAAAAGAGTCAATTCAGGAGTTGGGCAAAAGAGGCGCCGTGGCGTTCCACGAAACTAATAACATTATATTCAAAGAAACTTACTTGCCCATATTCGCTCACTATATCGAGACCCACGATCCCGAGGTCTAGATCTCCGGATAACAATTTCCGAACGATGTCTTTAGGCCTTTGGAACCAGACTTCCAAGCCCGATAGCTGTTGTAAGGCAAAATGAATAAGTAAATGGTCATTACGTAGTGACAAGAACATAAGCAGAACTCTTCATATGGATTGATTGCTAAAAGTGAAGTTCCTTTGTCAAATGGAGTGAAATAATAGCAAGTACCTGTGGAATTTCTGCAACATACTGTCGAGGATTGACTTGTTTTACAGACAATTGACAATCCTGGCACGCCAGAGTAAAAAAGTGTCAAACAAACAACTGGAAGAGTTCAGTGGGAAATGGCGATAACTTGTTTTCCCGATTCCTTAAAACAAAGTTTCGGGATGCAGAAGAATGTACCTTGAGAAGTTCTAGGGTGTCGGCTGCCATCCGCCCTTTACTGGGCAACCCTAATCGAATCTCAGTTCTCCCGTCTTTCGTTCCATTAAGAGTCTCAATCTGAGACTGCAAAGCAGAGCAGATGAGCGTCGGCTTCGGAAAAACGCGAAAATAAGAAGAACGTGAGGATATGGAAATGATAGGAATCGAGGAGGTGGGACATTGCTGAAAATTGGCTGTGAACGTCCACATCTCTCACACTTCCAATTCTCTGGTACCGAGTCGTTTTCCAGAGCTTTGTGGGATGAATGAAACCCTACAATTTGAAAATTGAAATTGAAATGAAGGGATTTGATCACCAGTGGTAACTTTGGCGCTTGAGGTGGAAGTCAAACCTCTAAATATTTTAATGTATTTTTGTCGATATTTTTTTTAGTTTAACTATCGCAAAAGTAGAGATTATTGAGATTACACTGACAGACACAACAGTTAATTTTAAAAAAATTAGGTTTCTACCACGGAAAATTGCTAAACATACCCACTAGTAAGCGTAAAATGTTAACCCATCTTTAACGAAAGTTTCAAAACAAAGTTTCCTAGAAAGTTGCTCTCAAATCTCCATAACATTTTCATCACTATAGAGTTTTTGAATCAATATTAGAAGAGGTATAATCTAAGAAATAACTTGAATTCGACGATTGGATAGAAGATGGCATTCTGTGAAAATACTTGGCGAACTCAGGCTCATTTGTGTTTCAATCCAAAAAACCCATATACGGAGGCTTTGGTGAAACCAGACTCCAGCCCTCATTACTAGTAGTTTCTTACGGGGAAGCCATTTTGGGTGTCGTTTCGTTTGGGATATTGGAATTTACGGGAAATGGAACGACACTAGTCAACAAGGGTTCGATGTTTCTGTTTTTTTTATTATTTTTAATGAAGAAAAATTTATTGCATGGTTTCAACCTCTAAATGATAAAACAATTTTTTTATTTATATTTTGGAAGAAATTGGAAATGAGAACAAGAAAGGAGAAACTAGTTATGGTTGTTTCCAAAATTTCTATACAATTGTGAGAATGTTCCAAAAAAAAGAGTAACAATAAGCAAAGTTAGTTGAAAAATACTTAGATTTATTAACAAAATTTGAAACGAGAAACAAGAAACGAGAATGTTACCAAACGAGCCCTAAATAAAATAGAAAAACGAAAAATTACTATACATTTCAAACTAAACTTCACAAAGTTATCGGAAATTGGAGGGAATAGGCGTTCTCTCATGCTTTTATGTTTTTTAATCACCCTTTTCAAAACTCATGTTTTCTAACCGTTTGCTACATCACTCAATTGTCAATTTACTTTCACTACCCCACTCATTTTTTAGATTTCTCTCTTATTCGCTCTCTCTATCTCCCTCTTGTTTTTCCATAATATTTTTCCCTCCCTCTATTTCCCTCTCTCTCTTTCCAATATTTTTTCCTTCTCTCATTTTTCATTAATTTTTTTTCTTCTATAATTTTCCATTAACTCATTCTTTCTCTCTAAAATTTTATTGGGTTTCTCAATTCTCTTCTTCTTTACTCTGAAAAAATCATAAATCTCTCGGCCTTCTTTCTTTTTTCTTTTCTTTTTAATGAGCAGCCTCCATTATTCCGGTTACCTTCAGCAATCGCCAGCGACAGGTGCATAAAAATCGATGAGGGAGGTCGTTTGCCGAAGAAGGAAGCTCAAGGAAGGAGTAAGTTTGGCCTAACCATGGGGATAGGGATGGGGAAGGAGATAAAGACAGAGAAAGTTGAGCGAGAAGAGGAAGTTGAGATAAAATGTTATCTAAATAATAATAATAAAATTTAGTTAATTTAAATGAAATCATAATCAAATTAAATCGATCAAAGCTAAATAAATAAATTTCGAAACAGTTTCGTCAAATTCAAATTTAAAATGAATTAACAAATAATTAGAGATTATAGATTATTTTGATTAAAAATTTGAAAATTGGAATTCAAACAGAATCTCAATCTCTCCTCAACCTCCTTAATTTTAGTCATTTGGTATTCAAATTTAAAATTTAATCTAAATGTATTTCGTTAAATTTCTCCTCAATCTCATTTAATCTCTCATAGTTTTAATTATAATTGAATTTCAAATTTAAAATTTAATTCACTTTGTATCTCCCCCTATCATTACGTGAGAGAAAAAAAATGGCCAAGAGAGAGTGAGAGCGAGATCTGGAAATTGCTTCTGAAGTGATGGAAGATCTGAAAGTGGTGTTTTTTTCGTAAACCCCAAGTTAAAAAAAGAAGATGAAAGATTCGAAAATGGTGTTTCTTTTTCGTAAAACTCAAGCGAAAAAAGAAAATAAGATGAAAGATTATGTATAACTCAAACAAAAAAGATGAGAGGTGTTTTGTAACACCCAGCGAAAAGAAGTGAGATGGTGTAGAGAAAAAGGGGATGAGAGAGAGGACGGAGAGAGAATGCATTGTATTAGTGGAGGGGTAGTGAAAGTAAATTGGAAATTGGGTAATGTCATCGAACGCTTAGAAAACATGGGTTTTGAAAACGGTGATTGAAAAACATAAAAGGCATGGGAGAACGCCTATTTCGTCCAATTTCCCAAAAATATGTTTCTATTTTTTTAATTAGAAAAATTTTTGAATTTTTTTTCCTTATTTCAGCTATTGTAATTTTTATAAACAAAAATAAATTTCTTTTTTTTAATTAAAAATATTTTAAAATTTTATTATTCATTTAAAGGTAATAATTTATACTTTATATAAATAAATTTATATTTGTTGAAGGTGAATTTTGGCTGATGGCCACGTGGTACACGGACGAGCAATCCGGCTTGGAACCCGACGGACCTGAAACCAAAATACTCGACGCTGGTGCGATGTCCCACCTAAAATACTCTGACGGTCAAGTCAGTAATTAGAATAGAAATAGGAATAAGACACCATAGGTATTAGTAACAAGTTTTTCACTTACTTGGTGAAAATGAAGATCCTTCCTTTTATAGCCTCGGGGGCCGACCAGAAAGGACGACGGTTAGAGGTGGCAGAGATGCTGTGCGCTGTACGGTCGGACATAAAGGAGCGCGTTTCCATTAGGTGCATAGTGGCTCTACCACCTGCGGCTGTGAATGTGCACGTCGTACCAACAGCATACGTTTCCAGCTACCACTACGTACTGGGTATAATCGCCTGTGGTCCCCTGCTCCTTCTAGCACGGACATGTGTTCAGCTCAGCAACATCTGTCTTGAGAGGGTGACCGTCAGTGGTCCCCCACCTGTAGAGGAGCGAACGCGTGTCCTGCTCGGGTAGGCGTCAAAAACGCATCTCCACTCTTCGGTCGGACACTGCTCCTGCAGACGATCCCATTCAAACTCAACCCCTGTCCACTAGAGGTCTTGCTCCAAAGCGCGGAAGCTGTCTAAGCCGCAGTAGTGGGACTCTAGGAGCTCCGGATTGTCCAAAATGGCTTTAGCTTGAACCAGAGCCACCTCAAGGCTGCCAACCTTAGTAGACTCTGGTTGCAAGGAGTCTAGGGCAATATCCTCGGCCTCCTTGCTCAAGGACAGATCAGACTCCGCCACTGCTTGCCTCTTTTCTGCCTTGAGCAGCCTATCCTTAGTTTCCTTCAGACGTTGCTCCAGCTCGGTAATCCGACTATCGCGAGAAGTCGCCTCGCCCGAGCCATCTCAAGGTTCTCCTCGGCCTTCTTACACGCTATTTTGAAATCTTCCGAGGCCTTCTTGGCGTGAGAGTCTACCTCAATCACCTCAGCCATACGAGACTGCACGTCCCCTTCAAGCTCGCTAACACGCGCCTCAGCAGAAGTCGCATGACGCTAGTGCGGTTCAACTCTATACAAAGACGAGTTTAAAGGGATTGGATCCCTCAGCGGTTCGCGTACTTCGATCTTGTCTTAGAATTACAACAAAGAAAAAACATATAAGCATGAATAAGAAGGAAGTTAGTGATACATACTTTAAAGACACCTCTTCAATGTAGACACCAACGCCACCACAAAGTCTTCCTCGCTATCATCTGGATATTAAGAACTCAATTTGTGGGAATCGTCTTATAATTGAAAGGGAAACAGAGAGATCGAGAGAAAGAATTTCTCATTGGAGTTTTGGAAACTCAATAACCGAGGACCGGGAGCCGTGCAAAGGAATTGAGAGGGCCTCCCTTTTATAGGGAAGGAGGAGTGAGGGGGAAGACACCACTTCCCCACTCACTTCCCCAGTTCCCACCATTCATTAATGGTCATTTTCCTTTTTTTTTCTTCTCTTTTTTTCCTTTTATTTTAATTAAAATAAAAATTAATTAAATCTAATTTAATTAATTTTTTAAAAAATTATTAATTAAATTAAATTAAATCTAATTTAATTTAACCAAATTAATATATCGCATTAATCTAATTAAATCATATTAAATTAAATTAAAATTAAATTAATCAACTATATTAGAATCAAATTATAATATTCATCTCTCATACTTTTGAATCCAATTCAAAATTAACTTTATATTATAATGTATCAACATACATTATACTAATTGCATCTCATATAATTAACCTTAATTCTCTTTAACGAATTTTAACAATTCAAATTCTTTTCAAGGCTAAATGTTTTTAACTATCCTTTACGAGCTAGCAAGGGGACCTAATGGACCTACAAATCGGAAGCTCCAACGATACGAGATTAATTTATTAAACTCATTAACCATATTAGTCAACATTCGTTAACTGTCGGTCACTCCACTAAAGACCCACAGTTCCACTCTTCTCACTGTAGAATATTTTGCGTCCATGGATTTTGACCATTAACAGTAAGTCAATCATTCACGAGTGTTCATAACCACAGCTGGGTCAAATTACCGTTTTACCCATGTGTTACATCTTGTACCATAAGTACCGTTGATCCTTTAATGAACAACCCGGTTATGATCCAACCAATAACCGGAAGTCCCTCTCGGACTAGTGAGAGGGTAGGGCCCCTTGTTCAAGTCCTGGAGTCAGCACTCAAGAGAACACTCATCTACTTCCCCTAAAGTCAGGAAGGAGTGAATTTCATCTTGTGTAGTTATGTTCCCAGCTCCCCGCTCGGTCCCGTCCCCAAAATGGTAGGCATATTGAGCGGCGACTCGAGCCACTCTCACCTATACAAATAATCAAACGACGAGCCCTAATAGGTAGGAGTCCATAACTCACTTAGAATTGAGTTACCTGGTCATCTTATTGAAATATTAATCTATTAGCTAACGATGTTATAGCTAAAGATTAATTATTTCGTGGTCCAGTCCTATACAAACTCATTGTATAGGATACCCTCACTCGCATGTCTTTACACGAACGACCT